GCGGGCAGCCATTTAGGTTCAACACATTGCATGCTGTCATTAGCACAGATAAGGGGCCTACTTTTGGAAACAGCTTCACAAAACAGGCAGCACACTTCTTTAGAACAGAAGATGTGATGTTATCTGTGGATGATATGCACAGAGGAGCCAGGAGCTGAGGAGCCAAGCAGTAAAAACCCCTTAGGTAGCTGCTAAACAACCTGCCTTGGGAGAAAAACAAACCACACAGAATTCAAAATGCTGGCAAATTAGGCTTTTGTGTATTCCCCTTGGAACCTTAAAATGGAACATGTTATGAGCTCTGAAACAAATACTAAGGGCCATTATTCAAATCACTACAAATTGGGATCTAATGTCATGCTTTCTTTGTTTCGCATGAAATCCTCGTTATTTTTAGTAAAATGGCCTATTACCGGGAAGACACAAAAACTGAATACTACTGAGAGAAAGTGCTTCACGGTGGATTTCTCCCTATAGCTGCTACACCCTGGTACTACAAGGCCGTTTTCTGCTGGAGAGTTAATATCGGCCCAGGCAACGTTACATCCATTTGTCCGGTTCTGGAAGGAAATGTGGCGACGAATGCAAACGGACACATTGTCATCTTGACCAATATGATGTTCAGCGATGTACAAGGTGAACCCCATTTTAACAAGTCATTTTACGTGCAGGAAGACCATGTTAGGATTTGTTGCCAGCCACGCAACAGCAGTTATGAATTCACAGCAGTCATTTGCGCTGTGGTGTGACAAGCATGCATTTCTGATATTCTGTGGAATGACAGGGCAAAATCAAGACGACAACACAGAAACGAGGGTCCGTGACATTACAACATCTCAAATCCCTTTACCGAGGGAATGGTCATCTTTAAACATCCATTTCATCTTTGCTGGATCCCCGCACTGACGTGTGATGGAGCAGTCGAAGGGGGGGCTGCTAAATCAGCAGATAACGTCCAGTAATATTCGAAAAATCCCACAAGGCCGATCAAAACAAAACGTCAACAATCGCTGTGTGCCTGCAGCCTCCAGCTGTCCGTATCCAGCAGGTAGGTGACGTTACTGTCTGAGAGAGGTGTGGTGGGGAGAGTGCTGCCTTCAAGTGCACTCGGAAATAATCACTTTATCTTTGATTCGAGGCCTCGTAAACATTGTGGACTAGAACATGTACGATGTTGTCCGGACACTGTTGCCAAAAGGCAAGGGCTTAGTTTTGCATGTGAATGGTAGGGACATGGCCCTACCAATACTTTGGGAGGACAGAAATGAACCTACCAATATTTGAATAAACCCGTGCACATTATCTTTGGACAGAAGTCCTATTATATAATTCCGTTGTGCCCTCCCTGAGGCTTCATCTACAAGAAGAGGGGATAGCTGGTGGTCAATACACAGTATGTTATCATGGCTGTCCATGGGTGAAAATGTAGTCTTTGCTATGACTTATTCCCTTTGCTTTATTGCCTGCACTCCACAGCACACATAACATAACATAACTTTGTCCATGCCACATCTTGACCTTTGTTGATAACATTATTTCACTGAAAATTCCAATTAGCTAGCTAGCTAACAGCTCCTAACACTTAACATTATTTCACAGAAAACATTATTTCTTGTTCTAAATTTATCATTGTGGTGAACTTGCAGGTCCTCCGACATCCTCAAGGGGGTGATGCAGCACCCTTTGCACCACTACTTCCTACGGCCTTGACCCTGACTTCCTTCTTCTTCATGGCCTACTCGTTTGACCAGATCACTTGGTTGTCTGCTAAGGACAGCCCTCTTCAAACCGATCCATGGTTTCAAATTCAAATGTATTTATTTATATAGCGCCAAATCACAACAAAAGCTGTCTCAGGACACTTTGTCTAGACCTTACTATTATTTTTATTATTATTATAGAGGAAAAATCCAACAACCCCACCCACTGAGCATCACTTGGTGACAGCGGAGAGGAAAAACTCCGTTTAACAGATGACACCTCCAACAGACCCCGGCTCTTGGTGGGTGGCCTTCTGCCTCAACCGGTTGGGGTGAGTGGATAGAGGAGAGAGA